ACGTTGGCAATGAATCGTCTGTAGTAAGACGTTATACCTGGGAAGCTTCTGACTTCTTCCAAGCCCTGTGGCGTGGGCCAGGATTGCACCTGTTTGACTTTCTTTGGGTTTGTGTGAATTCCTGCTCCCAAGATGGTGTGTCCTACGTATGCAAACTGAGACTGCATAAAGTGGCATTTTTCCGGTTTCAGGCGGAGGCCAGTTTTTCTCAGTCTGTCAATGACTGCTTTTAGATTATCCAAGTGGTTGTTTTCCGTGGTTCCGTGAACGATTATATAGTCCATATAAACGGGGCATTGGTTTGTGATCAGGCCCTTCAAAGCCTGTTGCATTAATCGTTTAAACGTAGCCGATGCGTTTACCAATCCGAAAGGCATCGTATGGAATTCGTAGAGCCCCGAGGATGTGAAAAAAGCTGTTTTGGATCGGTCTTTTTCATCAACTTCCATCTGCTAATATCCAGATGTTAAGTCCAGAGTACTAAAGTATTTTGCGTTATCAGCGCATCGAACAGATCGTCGACCCTCGGAAGTGGAAACGCATCCTTCTTGGTCACTTTATCCAGCTGTCTGCAGTCTACGCACAAGCGGAGGCCACCGTCTTTCTTGCGTACTAGCGCCATTGGTGTAGACCAAGGGGAGGTAAACGGTTGGATGGCATTGCTTTCCTCCATATGCCGGTATGCGCCTAAGGGGGATCTTTATAGGTGGGACGCTTCCCGTGTCTATTCGGTGTTTTACTACGCCTGTCCGCCCTAACTGCGTGTCGCCTCAATTGAATGCTTCCGCATTCTGCTCGATCACACGTTGGAGTTCCTTGGCGTATTTGGGTTCCAGTAGTGGAGCATTGTTCTTAATCAAGTCACAGATTTTCTGCCGGGCGGAAGGTACAATACGTTTTGTTGGCATTGACAGGTTTACCAGTAGTGTTGGGATTTTGCCTTCTCGCAGACGTATCGTGTCGTGTAGCGATTTTAAAGTGGCAGTTGAGGTGTCTATTTGACTTTTCGCCGCCTTCAGAAGGTTCAATTTGATTATGCACTAAAATGGAATTTATAGGGATATTATAAAGGTGTGTCGTAATAGGTGTGTTCCCAGGCTGAACGTTGCAATTAACACTCCTTCCGTCTTTATTGCCGAACCCTTTGCGACTACTAGGCGGTCGTGGTTGCTGTGTCTTACTCCCTCCGGTAGGTCCCGGGCGATGTCTGCCCGGATCAGGCTGTGGGGGAACCCGGTATCTATCAGGCCGGATATGGTTCTGTGCCGGAATTTCAGTGGTGTGGCGAGGGACGGCGTGTGGGGAGAGGCGGATGAGACTAAGGTATTGCTATCTGGTGGGGACTCACCTCTTCTGCTTCCTCTCCAAGGCCCTCGTTGGCCACGTCTACCTCGCCAAGTCCAACGTCCAGGTCGGCGAAAGTTGTCTGTTTTTCGCGGTGGCGCGTATCATGGAAAGAATGGGGTGTTTGAGAAGACTGCACTGTACTTTGGCGGACTATCGCTGCTTCGCGTCTTTCCAACAGCTCCAACCTTTCGACGGCTTCGCGTAGTTCCTCAGAGTGCTGAAGGTTGAATTCCTTTTGGGCGCTGGAGCATAATGTGCCCTCAACCAGCCGTTCGAGGATTTGCCGATCGCGTTCAGGGCTGGAGAGGTTTAGGATTGCGCGGTCTGCTAAATGTCGCAGCGTTCGAATGTAAGTGCGAACGTTTTCATCAACGAGTTGCCGGCAAGAATGGAACTCCCGACGGTACTCGATCGCTAGTTTGGGCGTGTCTAAGAGTTGTCGGAGCCCTTTGAATTGTGTCTTCCGTTATCTCAACATCTAGCATTCGAGATTCAGAGATATTATCGAATGCCTCGCCAGTGAGGAGGGTATACACCAGGTCGGCATGTTTATCATGTGGGAATTTCCGGAGGTAGATTTGTGTTTGTTTCTCCCATCGGTTATAATTGTTACCGATTGCGAACTTTTCCGGGATTTGGATGGGTGTAACAGACTGAAAAAACTGAAAATTCCTCTCAATTACTTTGCATTTCCTTATCTTTCTTCGTCATTCTATCGTGCATTTTTTCCGGAAGTGGTTTTCATGTCAATGAATTTTCTCTTTTGAACCTTCTATTTCATCCTTTTACATTGAAGCATATCTATTGGACACACACTTCAAGTGCTTTGCTCTAATATGTAAATGAGATCCAGTGGTTTTTCTTGTTTTATTGCAACCAACGTTTCGATTGGACGCTCGTTGTTGAACTAACCGTTGCTTTCGGTTAAATTGAACCCCTTTTGGTTGTACCGCTGAAGATTATTTTGCTTAATCTGTTAAAGCGTGCAGAATGTTTTATTGGTCCAGAATTATCTGAAAGATATTTCCTGTGAATATTTGTAACACTTTGGCTGGATAGTGAACCAGGCTCACTATCAGAGTACCGCAGATTATTTTTGGATTGACTTGGTTCTCGATAATTTGGGCTACGCGTTNACGCGTTGCTCTGAGATTTGTTTGTCGCCATCCAGAACAAGCCTAGGATCATTTGATTGAACGCATACAGAGGGGATCTTTTTCATTTCGCTCGGACCAGGGCAATCGTGTTTTGGTCGTTACAATGGGAGAACACGGTTTTGAAGATTGACTGTTTTTAGATAAGCGGTACAGAATGCTGATTAGTGGGGGCATTACATTTGATATTAATTCGGCTTCTCTTTTCGGTGGAAGTTCTGAATCGCCATAGAATGTTCCTTGAGTTTTCGGNATGGCAGGGTTGCCATTTTGTGGTATGTTCTAAACGAGGAGAAGACTCGGAGGTTTCGAACGAATTTATATTGATGCAATGATAAATGTTTATAATAGAAAATGGTAATGTTAAGTGTGGGCTCTGTTTTGGTTTGAGCTCTCAGTGTCTTCTATCACAGTGTCAGGTGCCACATAGTTTGTATAGCCTGTAAAGGGAAATGGAAGTGGTTGTTAACGGCAATTCGGTGTTCAAATACTGAACGTCAATCAGTTTCGATTTCACATCACAGTATCACTCTCAGTTTATTGGTGACCTTGAAGTTGAAAGTGGGTTGCGCTACTGTGTGAAAAGGACCAATAAAAAACAACATATTCCATTCGAAAATTCTCCATTATACTTCGTTTTCACAAATATCATGATCATGTTCCCAGATCTTGTTGTGTATTATATGAGTCCATTGAGATTCCACCTTGCCTACCAGGAACGTGCACTACATGCATGTTGCTCTTTGTAATCCGAGAACTATAATATTATTATTGTTATTATGTCTTACGAACCTGTTCGTATTCCTGGACGAAGTGAATCAACGTATGGATGAGGAGAAAAATGCAGAAGTTTGTTAGTTAGACTTCTGTAAAGCGTTTGACCCTGTCAGCCATCGATTATTGGACTTCAAAGTTCGGAGCCCTGGCGTAAAAGGTAGAGCCAGGGACTAGATTGTAGCCTTTTTGAACAACCGCACCTTCCGGGTCAAGGTGGGTGACTACATTTCTAACCATGAGGTAGTCACGAGTGGAGTTCTCCAGGGCTCAGTGCCAGGCCCCTTAATTTTTCTCATATTCACAACGAACTGGACTCTCGATTGGCCGTGGACATTTTCTGTCCTGTGCAAACTGAACTGAACTGAATTGAACTAAACTGAACTAAACTGACCTCAGAGGGGCCAGAGGATTTGGCTAGGGATTTTGCCTCTGTCCTAAGGTGGGTCCTCAAGTGGCATTTTCCACTGAATGATGGCAAAACCCTACTACCATTGCGGGCCGTAGAAGTCGTCACAAATGGCCATGAGGCAGGTTACTTCACTATGGAGGCGGCGGAAACTGCAAAAGACCTAGGAATCTTGGTAACCGCGGATCTTAGGTGGTCAAATCAAT